GGGTATTTCATTTAGAAAAACACAACTTTGATACTTTTAGGGCTTTTGGGACACTCTGTACATTACAAAAATATTTTTAAAATGTGCACCCTTTAAGCGTCTGTGGATTCATCAAATAATACTTTGCAAAAAACAAACGGGCCAAACGTCCGTGCCGTATAGCGTGAATAACCCTCTATAAGGTGGCCAGCACGATCACCGGATCTAACACCTCCAATTTTTTTTCATTGGGGAATGTTAATTTTCTAAGGTAAAGATCCTTTGGAAAATGTGGGCCGATTTCCCAAGAAAGCCTGAAGAAACTCAAGAAAAGTGTTAGTTTTGCGCGGTGATTTTTTCTTTGAAATGCTATTTCGACTCAAACAAGGCGCCGCCGTGTTTTACGACGTTTCTCTAGAACAATTTGAGCCACCAAACACGAGAAAATTGTGCCAGCTTTCACACAAAGAGCGAAATTTGAATTTCACACATTTAGGTGCAATATTGAGCCAAATTTTCATGTTTTCGGTCAGTTTTTTGCATGCAAGCTTGTAATATTATCGGTTTTTACCATATGGTAAGTGGGTCGGAATGTGCGTGATTTGAATATGGCAAAAGCGCTGGACTTTGAGTCAGAGTTTAATCACGTTGAGTCAATTTTCGTCCTGCTTTTGGGGCAATTTACCATGAAAATATTTCACAACTTTCTGCAACTGCAATCAGAAACTTTGTTTCCTCATCATTTTTTTTTCGTTGATATCCTTGATAATATTCCTTTAATCAAGTGAAATAATCGAGATTTACTTTCAACCCATCGTGCCCCCCGAATATTTGAATGTCCGAATTTGAATAAGGTGGCCAGCACGATCACCGGATCTGACACTTCTAATTTTTTTCTTTGACGAATGTTGGAAAATTAACTTTACAACCAAGTACGAATTTCAGAAGAGCGAACTTTAGAAACTTCTAATAAATGAGCGTCCTGAAGAGCATCGTTTGGAAACCACAAGGCGTAAAAGTTTTACTAAAAAACCGTAAAAAATAAAAACATATTTATTTTTAAACGCGCTTGCGATATTTCAAGAAAATTTGCAGATATCAGTAACATTTACCTACAGCGTGGTAAAATTATATAGAGAAATATCTATAGGGTGGGCTAGTTTCCATTTGAGATCTGCCCCTTTTACCAAAAAAGACCATTTCTAACCCTATATTTATAAAGAGTGAAAAAAAAACAGGTTTCACGCTATGTAAACAAAATTAGTAGATCTTTAAGAGCAAAGACTCTTCTATAGGGTGTGCCAAATTCCAGTGACTGCCTGTTTGAGAACAGGGGCATTTTTAAAAGAAATTATTTACATTTATAATCCAAATAATCCAAAATTGCCAGACTAGTGGTAATTTAACTGGAAGTTTGGTGCTTTTTACACAACAAAACATTTCAATTTTTAGCCAGAAGTGAAGCATCTTCTATAGGGTGAGCAAATTTTTAGTTGCTACGTGTTCTGAACTAAAAGTTATGAATTTTGCAATGAAACAGTGCAGTTGATTAAAAATTGACATGACATTCCATATTTGTGAATAAAAATACGGTGCGCCACTGAATTATCAAAAAACCCATTTAACGTTTTGATTGCTTGTTCAATTCCAAACAAAAAAGCTCTCTTGACTTTTCTTCGTACAACGCATCATTTTCGAGTAAAAAAATAAAAATCGCATTAGCATCCTGCCACAACTGACTATTTTAATTTTTTTACTGGAAAATTATGCATTGTACGAAGAAACGTCAAGAGAGATTTTTTTGTTTAAAATTGAACAAACAATGAAAATGTAGAATTGGTTTTTTGATAATTCAGTGGCGCACCATATTTTTCTTCAAAAATATTGAATGCCATCTCGTCAATTTTCAATCAACTGCACTGTATTACTGAAAAATTCACAACTTTTAATCCAGAACACGTAGCAACTAGAAATTTGCTCACCCTATAGAAGATGCTTCACTTCAAAAATGCTTAAAATTGAAGTATTTCGCAAAACAATACAATTTCTTCCCTTATAAGCATTGGTTGACAAACGCTTAAATTTCAGCCACAAGGTGTTACATTTTATGCATTTCTGACATTTTTTTCTTTTCTCGGACTCGGACGCTTTTTCGACTCGAGATTTTGCCGCATCTGCGCCCCAGTTGGCGCAAAAAAGATTAAACGACTGGGAGTTTCACTCTCTGTTCGGCTCAGCTGCCTGAACGGGCTCACCCTGTATATTTGCTACGCCTAAAACGGGCCAGGGATGAATGAATGGATGTGGATTTTCTTCCCTGTTCAAGGGAGAAGTGATTGAAAAAAAGTGAAGATAAATGACCGAAGAAACCGTTGCCGAAAGACAACATGCTGAAACAACAACGTTATCTTGGGCTCTCGTGTTTGAAGAAGTGCCAATGCAGATAAAACCGAAGTTTTGACGTGTGAGCAAACAGGGAAAATGGAGAATCTGAACGATAAACGGACGAACAATTATTGTGTATTTGTTGCGATCCCGATCAGATTAAATTCGAAACCAAACAGAAACCCGGTTTATCCAGTCGCGCAGGCAGCGGACTTCCTGAACTCGGCCGATAACGAGCCCGAGGCTGTTTCATTGGACGCATCATTCGAATGCCAAACAATCTGATGAAAAAATCAAATCGATCGACTCTAAGTAACTCAAAAACGCGAGAAACAGGCGTGTTAAATCACCGGGAATTAGTCAGGCAGCCACGAAAACATGTGTGGATTAATCGGTCACCCCTAAACGGCATTCGATCGCTACCGAAGTATTAGCTGGAACGAAACGAATCGCTGCGGTTGATTTGCTTGATTGGATTTTTCCATTCCAGACTGTTCCCAGGCCTCTAAAGTTCTAAGGTTCATTCCCCAAGAAGCCTGGATGGAATTATTGCCTGTCCCAATTTATTTGGCAGTGACGTCATTGAGTCAAAGACATGACGTCAAAGCTGAAACACCAGCGAAAGCCTTTCATCCCCAGCAAAAGAAGGTTTTTCGGTAAATAAATGCCACACTCAAGCCTGCATAAACAACCACAACATTCGATGGCAAATTAAAAAAAAAATGGAAAATAGCCTGATGATGTCTCAAAATCGAAACTGTTGCCAATAGTGAAACAGACTATGCACTATCGATCTCAACTGGTCTCTGAAGAAATAACTCGCCAACACCGGGCTGCATAAAAAAAAGCGCAAAATGCACACAAAATTTGAAAAAATTCCAGAAAATTTCCTGGCGATGATCCAAAATCGAAATTCTTTTTTTGTATAGAGCAGGCTTCGTTCTCCAGATGCCAAACAAAAGCGACTTTCTAACTTTGCAAGTTTCTGGGCAAATAAATGTCAAACTTTGGCCTGCTAAAATATCCGCAAAAACCCCATACAAAAATGGAAAATTCTTGAAAATGTCCT